TTGGGCTTATACAAAGACCAACTCGCTCTGATACCATGAAAAAAAATTGACATTCCACCATAAAATCATATGTCAATACGAGAAATAGTCCAACAAGTTATAAGATCCTTAATTTCTCACATACGTGATATTCTTGCTCTCAATAGTAAGCAAAAAGCAATTTTTTTAGTCCTAACATATCAGAATACAGTGATTGGTTTATTGGTGAGGAAGTTATCCGGATGTATGGTTTCCAAAATGTGAAAGATTTTTACCAGAAAAAGAAATGTGAACTATCGTGCTCCACAAGTCTCCACTTTACAATATAAACTTATAAACCAAGCATTGTGAAGATTAAAATATGTTAGTGAAGTAGTTGCTGTATTTTATGCAAAATGATCCTCGCCGGATCTTTTTCTTGAGGATCTCATGATCATGATCGTTTATCGTGCATCGTGAGGTCAGTTTTTGTTAGGTACTATTTATATTTAATTTTAAATTTTAAATTTAAAATGATTTCTAACCGCATAATATACGATAAACGGTCACGATCATGGGATCCCCAAGAAAAGAGTCCGGCGAGAATCCTTTCCCGTATTTTATAATCTGCCTGGTTCTTTTCTTTTGACGCGTGTTATGGCCTCTGTGAATGAGAGATTTGTTAGTGTGCTGAAAATACAGGACGGCACACCAATAATGCAACTGGTTGTGATAAACCTTTCTGTTCTTGTTAATTGTAACTTGTTACTTTCTTTTAAAGCCAAATCCTTTTGAGTTGGATCACACAATCTTTAACTCTGACCCCATTAGCTCACTTATTGTCCATGCCACAAACACCACTATTGTGCACTGTCTATTATCATTAATCTTACTATATTTATCAATCACTCAAAACCATTTTATTCGTTTTCTATTATCTAACTATACCGTCCACCAGGGTAGTGCTATTTAAAAACACAAAGCTGACACATTTGGGGGCTCATTCTCTGATGAAAGTCGATTCACCATACGATGGTAGAGTTACCTCTAAGAAACGAGAGATTCTCCTTACACCAATTTATCAAGTGACAAACGTATATTTGATATGTGATTTACTTTTCGAACACGTAGCAAACATCCGTTGTACGGGTGGTGTCTTTAGGGTTGTGCGCTGGGTACAAGTTTCACACCGTGGCATGGATGGTATTTCACTTCTGCTTTGGTGGGCTTATACTTCCAAAACCCAGCTACACATTCGAAAGAGACGAAGCCCATCTGACCCAAAATATTACCGACTGTCAGGCCCTTTTTTTTTACCAAATAGATTTAGGCCCACTTTTTCTCAAAATTACAATTTTACCCACCAAATGGTGTGGCCAATTTCACAGTAGCAACGCTGTTTCGCCTTCTCCTCCAAAAAACCTCGCAAAACCCTTGAGGACGGCGAAATGTTTCGGACCCTTCTCCGACGGGCATCCGGGTCGGGCGGCCCAAGACCCGAGCCATGGAGGCTGACGGCGACGATGAGCTACTCGACGTCCAAGGACACCATGGCCAAGAAGACGAAGAAGACCGGCAAATCCAAAAACGATCCGGCATCAGCCGCCGACGACGCCGTATCGGAGGTCGACGCGGCTCTCTCCGGCCAAAATTCCCGCGCCCGCCAGCTCCAAGCCGACGAGAAGGACCGGTCGCTCGATGTGGGACCCAACGGCCGTCCTCTGTTCACTTCCACTCCGACACTCTCTCAGCTCAGTCGCAAGGACACCTGCTCCTACTTCAAGCTCAAGTAAAACCCTTACCCTAATCGAAATCTGTAACGAAGTCGATGTAGCTCTGTATCTATGTGTGTATTTATTGGGATGTGAATGCTTTTTGATTTGAAGGATGGAGGAATTGAACAATGTTTTGCCCGAGGGGTTGCCATTGGGGATGGTGAAGGAGTTCGAGGACGCAATGCAGAGCGCGGTGATCGTCCGCCAGAGCTTTCTCGATCTTCGTGACAATTTTCGAAGGATCGTGGACCCGCCGTTGGACTCGGTTAGCACTAAAGGTGCGTGCTTTGTGTTCCATTGATTGATGCATAATGCATTACTTGTTTAGAGCTGGTAAAGTTTGAGACTAATGCTTTTATTCGGCACAGTTGAAAAGGATTGTTTTTTGTTGTAGCATATTATAATCTATCTCGATTTTAAAGTTCCGATTTTGATATCTATAGATGTCCAATGGCTCATTATGCTAGTAGGAAACTAGGAAGCTAGAAAGTTGCATAAAGTTTTTAGATTTCTTAATCTGACAAGGCCTCGTTATGCTTTCTATAGATTCTGATATTGCTTTATAGTTAATCGATGCTGTAATTCGTATTTAGTACAGTTGAAAATGATGGGTTTTATGTTGTAGCTCAGTATGATCTAACTCCAATTTAAAGACCCAATTTTGATTAGTATAGATTTCCAAGGGTTCATAACTTCATAATTCATGTACTAGAAAATTGCTAATCACAAGGGTTGAAAACGAGGAGGCTATGAAATTGGATAAATATCTTGGATTGCTTAGTTTGGCAAGGCCTCATATGCTTTTCATTGTTTCCAATGTCCCTTTATGGATAATCAATGTTGCAATGCATACTTTAGTTTCACGTACATGTTGAATGATGGATCATGTGTAAGATGCCCTTATCCATGTTTTCCTTTTCAGGTAAAAAAGCCCAAAAGCAGATTGTCTTGGATGGTCCTGTAAGCTGCGGAAAGAGTATTACTCTTGCAATGTTAGTTCAATGGGCTCGTGAGGAAGGTTGGTTGGTTTTATATGTTCCGAGAGGCAGGGAGTGGACTCATGGAGGATTCTTCTATAAAAACCCACAAACAGGTCTTTGGGACACGCCTGTTCAGGCTGAAAATATTCTGAAGGTAAGATTGTGGAGCTTTCTTTTCTGTATTATAACATGCTGTTGACTTAAATACGATCAGTAGTCTCTGAGTACCTTTGAAGGGATTAAATTTTGACAAATAAGAATAGTCCATAAATCTTGGATTATGTGCTCTTGATCATCTCCATGGCTTTGTATTCATCTTTTTGTCATTTTATTCCAGGATTTCCTGAAATATAACGAATCCCATTTAAAACAATTGTCGTGCCAAATACTTGATCCTATTCCTTTGGGAGAAGGTGCTGGTGTTGGGTGGATGAGAGATGGAACTGATTCCATGGCAATGCCTGAAGGTTCAACTCTATATGACCTTGTTAATTCAGGAATCAGGCACACTCATGCAGCTGTTGGAGTGGTAGTTCATTTGAGGAAGGAATTATCTCTTGTGAAAAACATTCCCGTGCTTATTGCAGTTGATCAGGTGCAACTGATTACTTGATAATTGATATTTATTTTATTAATGAATTTTGTTTCTAGAGCTGTGTTGTAAACTTTTGCTGTATTTTTATGCTCGCTTTCTGCAGTATAATAACTGGTTTACGTTCAGTGAGTATGAAGAGCCAGTAACCGTTCGTTCTACTCGACCAATACATGCTAAAGAACTCGCTACGGTAGGTCCCCTCCGTTTGGTTGAGAATAATGTTGGTGTATGCTTCTAATTCGTAAATCTTTATATGTGAGGACCATCAGAATGTCCATTCATCTATGTTTATGCAATCAAGTTTGGGTGTACAAGTTGGTATTAAGTTATGGTTTGTCTGCAATATTTTGTATATTGAAAACTGATGCACACACATGTGACACAAATTTTCCAGGTGAAGGCTTTTAGATCTATGCGGAATGATGACATGATGGTGGGCGCATTTTCACATTCAACAGCAGTAGGAAAGCTTCGTCAAGACTTGCCAGATGTGCCCGTACATGCTCGCGTCAACCTTTCACGCTACACTTTAGATGAAGCAGCAGCTGTTTGCCATTACTACCTTAGGTATGTAGTTAATGCTTGCCAAGTTTTCAATGCAGTCTTATTGCATCATTTTATATTAGATTGCGTATATACTCCGATTTAATTTGTTTTACCATGACACATGCGAATGTCATTTGAAAAATTAGTAAAAGATAGATAGTACATATATCTTAATTTTCGGTTTAAGACAATAATTATTAATGTGTCAGACATGGTTTGGTGTCCTTCAAATTCAAGTGACTGACATTAGGCCAACAACCACATAATGAAAATGCATTATTCTTTATGTCAGTGCTTACAATCAAACTCGTCGGAGGCTTGCTTTCATGTCTAAAACTTTCGTAATGTTTTTGCCCTGCAAACTTTTCACATTCTCAGCCTTTTTCTACTGTATTATATGGCAGACAGAGGCTTATTCGCCGCGAAGCATTCACAGAGGAAAACTGGAAGAAAGTATACTACTTGTCGAATGGAAATGGAGCAGAAATGAGATGGCTAGTTCCTTTGATGCGGGCTGATAGTTAGTTCCTTTGACACGGGAAACGGTTGGTTCCTTTCGATAAGGTGAAAGGCGAATATGATTTTTGTATCACGGTAGTTACAGAAGACACAAACTGGCAGAGCTGCTTTTTTTTTTCGCCTCACGGGCCCCCGTTGATTTTGATCTTATTCAATCATAATTTGTTACTGCTTTTGATTAACATACTCATGATCATAGCAAAAATATCGTTTATTTTTATCATTGAACTTGTAGTGCGATCGGATAAGTGTCTGAAGGGATTGTATCATATGTAGATCAGTTCACATTTTGTAGTTTCGATGTTGAACTCAACTCTTTTCATTTCATTTGCATTTTCAGATATATTTGAGAAACTTGTAACCTTTTTAAGTATGCAGACAGACAAAGAGTCACCGATGAGGAGAAATCTTGCAAGGGTTTACGGGTAGGTTGGGCTACTCTTTTTATGGTGAAACCTCAGTTTTCTTTATGATATCAGAGCAATTTGTCCCACATGTGAAGTCAACCAACTAGATGCACTCCACGTCACTCCATTTGTTTTAATCACATGTTTGGTTTAGAAATTCGCCACACATGAAGGGGACATATGAAGATGTAAAGGTTAAACTTAAAGAGTCGCACATCAGTTAAAGCAGAAATCTTGCAAGAACTTAATTAGGGTGTGCACTTAGTTACTGTGAATATACAAGCCCTTATAGATTGCTCTAACATCCAAGGTGAAGCAAGATTCGGGTCACGTTCGTCATTAGAAACTACTGAGAAATAATTATAACCTAAAAGCTCTAAGCATATATAATCGAAAAGGAGTGTCGGGTTAATGAAAAACCAAGATTCTAATTACACAACTAAGATGTAGCATTCAAAAATTCATAACTTGGCTGCACTCGGCATGGAGGGAGCTCATAAGGTAGAATTCACATTCTCCGATCACAATCAAAAGCCAACCACCGGTACTTATACCGACCGGATAAACGTTTAATTTTTGTGCGATATCAGAATGGAGACTGGCACAACGGGCAAGTTGATTTGTGAGAAGTTGAGAACCACTTGAAGAGGCAAGCGGAATGGAACTTGTGCTTGCAGGTCTTGCAGGCAAGGCGAGGAAGGCTGTGGTTTGCGGTATGGATGACGCTGTAACAAATAGGGCACTCCTCCACGCCTTCGAATTCTTTGTCAAAGTTGCGCTTCCATATCTTGATAGCTTCTGATAAAGCTCCATTCTGCATCACACAAGTTAAAAAAAACTATTGAATTGGTCCATCCGCTTTGTTATTACGACCTATTCATGTTATTCTGAACTTTCCTTTCGTCTCCCTCGCTAATCTTTAGACCCGCCTTGTGTAAGATCAAATTACCCCGCTTCATTTACCAAAAAATCAAAAACCCAGTTTCAGTGTGTGCTGCTGTTTCCCGCATATACGTTCATGATCAAATCAAATTTTATAATAGTATTAGAAAGATTTGTTAGTCTTCGCTATTGCCACTAAGTGATAAGTGTAATTCTCCTATAAATGCAAGGTTAATTAGTTCAATTTACCTGATTACGAACGAAAGACGCCATAGACATCAACCATTTTCTCTGCTTCACTTCACTAATACCTAGGCTCCTCCGACAATCAACATCGACTGGTCGTAACGGGTAAGATGAAGGAAGACGGATAACAAGGTCCAGTCCAGTCTCATCCTTTGTATAGGTAGCAACAACCTCATTTGCTGACTTGCTTACGATAATCGAAAAATTCTCATCAGTTATTTCATCCTTTTTAATCTGCACGAGAATTAGAACACAATTTATTGTCATTTGAGGATACTATTCTTGATTGCTAAAGTAATTGAGGATACTATTCTACAACTGTTCAATAATCGCACTGCAAACATGGTTAAGTTATCAATTATAGCAGCATTTTATAGATTCCTGCGTGTATGAACAAGTTCGCACTAGAGAAGCAGCGGAGTAAAATCATGGTTGACAAGCTACGGCCACCTCAGAAGCAACACAAAATTAACAATATCTTTCAAGCTATACATACCAGGCTTAATTCGTTTGTGATGAGAGGTGGGCTGCACCATGATCTTGTGAAGGATTCAATTGCAGAGGATGTAGAACGATCACGTAAATCACTGAACCACTGTCTTACATAAGCAGGAAGGATGCGGAGCATCAAACCAAACATTGCTCCAGAAAGCGAAGCTATTTTCACAGGTTCAACAGGCCACAGAGATTGTACAGAAAACAATACTGAACCAGTTTTGATGGCGTGTGTTGCTGCAGCTGCAGCTTCTGCTATACCAGCAGGAAGCGCCGTATCTTTCTTCTTAAGAATAGGTGCCATGCACAGTTCTAGAGGAATATGCTGGAAAAGGCAATCTAGAATCACCGAACTAGCAGAATCTTGTATATACTGGACGAGTCTCTCCCTTGCAGGTGATGAGGATGGTAATGACCATAAATGAGATAGCAACAAAGACCATGCAAGGAAGACATGTACCTGCAAATTTGAGAACAAAAGAAATAAAAAACCATCGCAGAGAGCTAGAAAGTACTAAGTAACTGAAGATATAATGATGGAACGCAGGCCATAATGATTCATTTAGCTACTATGTGAAAGCACATTTACCCTCTGCTCTGCCACCAGGTCCATTTCAAGAACCTTATATGGTAGCTTTTCAATCATGCAAGATATTTCCTCTTTTAAATGGATGCTTGTTTCTGTTGATATATCAAGAGGGGATGAATCCTCTTCGCCATTAGTGACACTGTCTAAAGAAGCTTTGTCTTCAACAATAGCCAACTGTAATACAGGTTCCGATGAAATAATAGAATAAGCGGCAAACTGCAACAAAGGAACGGGTTTCGAAGAAAAAAGGATTGCATACAAAGCGCTAATGGCTCCTTTGCTGAGCCCCCAAAATTCTATTGACTTCACTGCTCTGTCTCTAGCGTTTGTCGATGAGTTGACAACATTTGAGGCCACCAACTCCCAAAAATGCGAATGTTCAGATCGGGATGATGAAATGAGAGATGCAGCCTCATCACAACAGGAGCGTGCGATGGCCTCTGCAATGCCGGTGCAAAAGAACAATCTAAGTATACCTTCTAAAATTCGATCTTTGATGGGGTCCCATCTTTCTGTTCTCAAGGGGTTTATGTTATCTGCATCTTCTGCTTGCTGGAGACCAAAAGGTCCACAACAGAGAGAAAATGATAAAAGGGCATTCTTCGCAATGTCTATAGTAAAGGAATCTGAAATATAGACAATTTTCCCAAGCTTATTAAGGACAGCATCGAGATTATCAGAAGGAAGGCGGCTTGTGATAATGTCATTAATATTTTCAGCAATTTCCTCCATCATTACAACAGCTGACTGAATCCAACGCCTTAACTGAGATAACACAAACTCCCAGTCTTCTTCATTAAACTCCTTCCAACAATAACCAACTGAAATAACCATTAGCCGAGATAGTAAAGTCTGCACAACTGGAAGCTGATTAATTACAGTTGATGTGCCAGGACCTCTCTGCTTCCGAAATAATTCAAGTAGGAGTGTTCTCTCTGCAGAGCTGACATTTCTCTCCAGCTTTGGTGTTTGTATGTCCCCCAGTGTACTAAAGGGATAACAAGCTATAACCAACTGAAGCCAATCTTCCATATCTACAGGAAGAAATAAAAATGACACATTAATAAAATTTCCGAGAAGACAATACTGTAAATCAATCACATAATCCTCAAGCAGTATCATTCATGGCCCTTTAATACAAGTGAAAGATGAGGGAGGCCAGCCCTACCTTGTCAAGGTGGGCATTCTATGTATGAAATAAAAACAGTTTCTATTCTTACTCTCAACCATGTGATTATTTACTTAACCTTAGTGAGATGACAAAAATAGATTTATTGACTTACAGCAATTACATGAATTTACCTTGTCCTGTTTGCCATGTGATCAAAGGTGGAAATGATATGGCTTTCTGAAGCCAGCCTTCAATAACATCCTGTACACGATTTTCCCCAGAAGAATCAGGCTGTGTCTCTTCATCGTTAGGTTTGATGCTTCTTTGACTTAATGGCCGAATAAGAACATTAACAATCAGAGGAAGAATCCTCAAACAGTTTGCATTTATTGCTTCACCAACACAAAGCTTATTCACAAGCAGTTCCAACAGCATCACAGCTTTCTCTCTTTCCCATATATTATCATTAAACAGAGTGAAAAGTACAGCTACAAGAGCTCTCAAAAAGGGTTCTTCAATATCCTCCACTTCATCATTTGAAGTAGGCCATAGATAGACAAAACTCTGTGCATCACATCCTCCATGAATAAGTGCTCCATCAAGTAAAATGTTGAAAATAAAATCTAACAAGCTCTCCTGAGAAGAGAAATTTCTACTCTTCGCATATGCACTCAAGGAAGGTAAGAACGAAGAAACAGCACTTCCTCCTGGCCACCTCCATGTGCATAATATTTCACAAGCAAGCCAAGATCGAGTAAGCCCTTCATTTGTTGTTCCCTGGGAGGGAGGGAGACTATGTTTTACATGACCAGCAACAACTCTATCAATCCCAACTTCTGAGATGATCTTGTAAATAAATGAAACAAACTTGCGATGGCCAAAGTCCTGAATTTGTCATATATGTAAACTATAAGTCTACAAGTCTACACATTCCATGTAACAGAAGATTGCATAAACAAGAATGTATAACATTAACACATGTATAATTTGAATAATCCCCACGTACCTGGACATCAGCAGATGAATTTTTTAGCACTAATCCCTCTGGGCTACTAAAATCGGGAACAATCCACAAAGGCCAGCTATCACCCTTGCAAAGAAGTTGGTCTAACAGATTTTGCTCCTCATACTGATCCTGAGAGACACAATCAAGAACTTCAAGCATCCACAAGCAACACAAAGATGTGAATTTTTCTGTGTCTAGTTTATCTTCAATAAATATGGCAGATCTCATACTCTGAATCAAAATATTCCCCAATGCCTGCCGATTGTGTAAGCTAAGGCTTTTCCAGAACTGATTACTTATCTTACATCGAAAAGCATGAAAAGATTCACCAAATCCCAGCCTGGCCTTCAATTTTTCCTTTGATTCATCATGAGGGGCATCTTCTATTGTTGTTAATATTAACAGAAACTCCCAATCAATTATAAAAACTGCGGATAAGATAACTGGAACCAGCCCACTTTCTTCACCAAGTTTCTTCAAGGAAAACAAGGTGCCATCAAGTACTCCAAGAGCAAACTGAGCCATCTCAAACATGGTGACGGAACTTTCATATTCTGGCCCAATACAGTTTTCCACAGCGGTCAATAGAGGACCTGCATTCCTAACCCAAGTAAAGGAGGATGCCAGAATAAAAGAAAGCAACTTCTTGAATACCTCCTCAAATATCAGGATCAACGTATTTCTTGACACAAAAGATGTTTGATTGCTTTTTGTTGAACCACCGACAATAGTGCTGCAGATAAGGCAATAAAGTTTTAGTCCATGAAAGTGAAACACAACATTAAATGAGGACTTTAATCCTATATAATCATTTTCAGGTTACAATATCAGCCAGATACATATAAATCAAGTTTAGCAAAGATGCTTTGAGATGATCAATAGCTTTCTTTTTTAAATATAGAAGTAGTCAATCCCGGGAAAGAAGGAACGAATAATCTAGAGCTATTCAATCTTAACAAAATCAGTCAGAACAAATACCATACACATACCACAAAAACTGAGAATTACAAGTTCCGGAAGGTGGGGAACGAGCAACAGAAACAGCAGCTGACTCTAGAAGCTCATGATGCCAGTTTTCTGGGTTGCCCATGGATACTTCTCCTTCTTTAGTGCTTGCAATTCGATCTCTTGCTTTCTCTAAGAGCATTGACAATATGGTTATGTGGTCAGAGTCTAAAGAAGTTGCACATCCAGAATGTTCCAGAGCAGTCACATATCTGATAACAATATCCCATTGCTCAGAGAAATATTCATCATCAAACAATGAAAATAACAAATCAAGCCGAGCACTTAAGGAGCAGCTATTCCCATGCAAACACCACGGAACAAATTTCTCCTTGAATATTTGCATGAATAGATCTGCCTCTGTTTCTTTATCCCCCCTATCAATAGAATGCTCCCAAGAAAGATTCTTTTGGATAAGAAGCTTTTGGACTATCTTGCGTGGTCCAAATACAGAAACAGCAACTGATAGAATCTTCACACAATTAGGTGAATCCTGATGTCAAGAAAACGAGATAGAAGAGTGAATACTAGAAGTTACAAAGCATAATATGTAAATTATGCAATACATCGATTCTCAAGATGACATAATTCAATTCAGCGAATTCACTACCCATCTTTACGTCCATTACCATAACAATCTTTTTCTTTATTAACTTTAAAAAAACTACTGAATTGAAACATTTTCAGAAGACTGCAACAATTGGAAGGCAAGGGAAAGAATTAACAGAAAGACAACAAAGGTTGAGTTTTCTAAAACGAAAAAAAGTGAACTTTTATACTCCACAAGCTGCAATGTACGGAAAAACAAGTCAGCATGTAACCATAGGTACTATTCCGATGCAGCCAATAAAGATGCTAGCAAGAGACAACAGATATTGACAGCTACCCCAGAACATAGACAACTATCTCATCAGTTATAAGCTATCCGGATATTACAATATACAGAAGAAGAATATATATAATTCCTAACATAAATTTGTCTCAATTATCGAGGGGTTGTGCAATAGCTACTTACATGTGATCTCATCAATGGGAATGACTTAGATAACATTGGTCCAACTAAACAACCCAAAGGCCAACTTTGACCTTTCTGCATTGCATGTTCTCCAAGTAATGATATAAATTGAATAATTCGTTCTGCAAGCTCACTGTCTGTTCCCAATTTACCATCATCATTAAACAAACCCAGACAATTCTCGTCAAATTCTGCGGAGAAAGCTGAGAGCAAATCATGCTGGAGCGAATAAATGCCTGAAAGAATCCCAACAATGCAGTTCCCCAACTCTCTCAAGTAGCTCATTGGGTACATAATATTCAATGTTCCCACAGTCTTCTCGTTGGAAATCAAACCACTTTCACATGAATCTGCTGATAATCTGGATAAGGTTTTCTCCTTATGTTTTGAGCTACTAGCAAAAAGGTAATCTCGCCACAACAGCTTTACCAGAACATTTTTGACAAGATTTACTTGAAAAGGAGAGATGGAATCCACTTTGTCACAATATCTGGTATCAGAAGAAAAACAATTAAAATATGAAAGTAAAAAAAAGGGAATAAAAATACATAAACTGAAAATCCCCCTGGGCACAAAACCAGATGGATTCACAAAATTATTGAACACCATCAGAAAAAAATCTCACCTTGATGCATTACGGAATCCCCAAAGCAAGCAGTCTTTAAAAGCCCCAAGAAATGCTAATCTATCTGCATTTAAGGAATGAGATGGATTCCTTCCTGCCCACAGGTTCTGGAAAAATTCAAGCAAAAAAGTTTCTCCCACTACTGCTTTAGATGGCACAGTGTCTAAAAAAGGTAGTAAAGCTGGATAAGAAATCTGCTGAGATCCAAAGCACCCATTTCTAAGAAAATTCCAGAATCGATTTAGTACTACTTTCTGTACATTAATAGAAGTCCAACTGTCAGGAAACCTTTTAGAAAATAGCAAAACTGCATCCCACATTGATGAATGACAAGCAGGATCCGTCTCCTGAAATGCACCAAATACTGCAGCAGCAAGAGTTTTCATGTTTCCTTCACTAAAGGCATGAGGAATGTTTCTAATGAAACTACTTAATACAGAATATGTGGCTGAACGGATAGCAGAAATCGGAGATTTCAAGAAGTCTACAAAATATTTATGAACAGTGAACAAGTTTTCAGCAAAAGAAATAGCTGTTTCCCTAGCTTTCAAAGCATGTTTTGGTGGAGCATTTATCTTCTCAGAGTCTGGTCTTCCTTCTTGTTTGCAAACCAAGACATCAAGAAGTGTAGCCAATGCCAGAAGTGAAGAAGATATCACCTGCAATCCAACAGGATAAGAAACATTAAATCTGAGAGTATTGTTTCATTAAGTTCTTCTAATGAGACATATGCTCATGGTTTAAAGCATATTACACTGGGATAAGATAACATATTCTAAAGCATACCTGCTGATGCATCTCTTCTAATTCATCAACAGCAGTTGCTTTTTCAGACATACTTTGCGGCGTAAGCCTCAGATTTTCTTCCAAATAGGTAAAAACCTCTGCTGTGCATAAAATTAAAGCATCGAGTCTCTTTTCCTGAGCTGGAAAAGCTGCCTGTTGTGAGCAACAATTACAGTCATGTCAAGAGTTAACCCAAAGTCGTATATGAAACACAAAAAAGGAGTTTCAAAGAATAGGTCAATCAGCACCAGGTTTGAACAATAAAACAATCTTCATAGCCCCTTGCAAAAAAGAAAGAAATAATTGAGAAGAAAATATTACAAAAGGTGTGGATATGGTGAGAATAAGTATTATGAACTTAAGGCAACAGTACCAACAGTTAAGAGAAGGCTGGACCAATTTGAGGCCCAAGTACACCACAAATGTGTGGTAGGTAGCCCAGGCCAAGAGATCAAAGCTAAAGCCCAGACAAAAAATTGCACTCTGGAATAGCACATCTCCAACCAATAAAGTACCATTGTGGGGGCATACTCCACTGCATTCAGCCTAATAGGGTTGCACCTATTCCATGCAATATACTTGATAGATTATTATACTCAATACATTGCTTTTCGATGAGAATATACTTGATAGATTCTGAATTTTCTACATTAGGCTCAGCCCTTGAATTTTTGTGTTTCCTTTGAAAAAGGGATAAAATTCACAAATTTCTAAAATATAACACTCATTTTCATTCTTCATTTCAAGTAGAATTTCAATACTTCTATTGATGCAAAATCTAGCATTTTGAGGGCAATATCTAATACTAAGCAACACAAAAAATGACAATACTTCGCAAAATAACCTGTAATGAGCGCTTTGCAGCTTGAGCAACTTCAGAAAGTCGGTCGAATTGAGAAAACCACCATGGTCCCATCAGAGACTTTAGATGTGGAGCTAAATCTCTCCTAAACAAACAACCATGATTGTCTCAGTGCATTTAGGAAAAGTTGAGCTAATCAGTACATGATGATCTTACACATGCAACTACTATGCATTGACAATAAAGGCACTTCAAAGCATAGGGATTTAATCATTTTAAAAGAGGTCCTATGTGAATAAGGTTTGAGAAATGCTAAAAAGAGGTCAGGGGACGCCGAGGCAGGGAAGGAGGGAGGTTCTACACACAATGTAACTATGTGAAAAAAAAAAAAAAAAAATAGCATTTACAAACCATCACCTGGTGTGTGGATTATTAGAGCCTATTTGGTACTCTACTTGAATCCAACTTTTTAAACTCAAAAACAATTTTCAAGTTTTAGGCCTTAAAAACTTGTCTGGTAGGACTATTTTCAAAAACTAAACTCAAGACTAACTCAAAAATATAGTCTATTATCTAAAAACACAAAAAGTGAGTTTTTAGAGTTTTTAAACTTAAACTCACTCTTTCTTTTCTCTCCCTTCTCCCCCTCTCACTCCAAATCTATCTCTCTCTCTTTTCTTCTTTCTCTCTCCCTCTTCTCTTTTTTTTTTTTTTACCTTTTTGGTCTCTCCTCCAATCCGCTCTCTTCATTCTCTCGGTTCTTTCTCTCACTCCTCTTCCTCTCTATCTCCTCCGATCCTCTCACTTCTTTCTCTTTCCTCCACTCATCTCTTACTTTCTTTCCTCCTCTCTCCTCTTTCTCTCCCGACCCCCTCTTTTTGGATCTTTTTGTCTAGTTTAAGTTGTATGATTTAAAATTTTTAAATCACATGCCAAACAAGTTTTTGATCTTATAGAAAATTGTTTTCAAGAAAAATTCTTAAGAAATGTTTTGAGACGTTATAAAAATTTTCAAATAGGATACCAAACAAGGCCTAAAATTATTGTGCTGTTTTCAAAGAGAATCCTCACCTCACATAGGAGCTTATCAATCAAGCTAAAAATGTATACAACTACCAAACCAAATCAATGAATTTTCCACGGTATATCCGACAAGATTTAAAGCTCAGGATAGAATTCTCCTTTAAATTCACAGATTTCAAAACAGCATGTTTTATCCAGAAACAACAGGCAGAAAAGTAAAAAGTGAAAGTAGACAAACCCAACAGCAGTGACAAGATTGTTCATCGTGTCATGAGTTGCTCGCCGAACATCCCTATTGTAGTCCACCACAAGCTTTTTGTATTCAAATGCCTACAAAAAAAAAGCGTGGCGTAAGTCTAAATTACATGAAAAAGTTAGCCAAAACTATAATGCAAGATACATGATTTTGCTTTAACTCTAATGTTATTATGAAGCAGCAAGAAACTATACCCATTGCGGAATGATTGGTATTATGTCCATCGTGGACTTTTCCTTGAGCAGTGCGGATAGAGATGCCAAAGCTTTAAGCTATTAAAGAGCACAAGTCAAATCAAATCTTACCATCACACACAAACAAATATCAAAGTATTAAGGGTTAAGAACATGCGTGCTTACACAAGCTTACCTTGGTGGTCGGATCTTTCCTTGCAAGTCTCTTCAAATGTAGAGCCAATTCACTATCTACATCCTGCATTAACGAAAAATCAATATGGAACCAGATACTCAGCTCATCCGAAACGAGGTTGCACATGAACTCCCTTATTAATAGTAAATTTCTTTAAGCAAAATGGGAACTTTAGTCTCATTGGAACAACTTAAATCAGCATTTTAAAGCCAAGAAAAAAAATTAATTAATTCCAATTAATTAAACTATCAAAGCATTAAGTTAAAAAAAAATAAAAAAATAAAAAAAAAAACAGAAATTACACACATTCTACCAGTTGATTTAAATGCAGTAAGCTTAAAAACAAGAACTTAATTAAATACTTCCAAAATTTAATAAATAATATGGAAAAAGTACCACATAGGGCGTAGAATCTTCGCTGGGGAGGGAAGCCTCGAGGCGAGAACCGCCGACGTAGCCACCGAAGCCCACCGTGGCAGTAGAACCCGACGGCACCAGCGACGCCGCCAGACTATCAATATCCATATAATAAAATATTAAACACATAAATATCGATGGAAAATTGAAATTTCTTGGTCATTTTGAGAATTTAAAAAGCGAAAATTCTCGTCTTTGTTTACCTGCTGCTTGAAGGGCGTGCCTTGCTCCTAGCTGCATCTCCTTTCTGTTTCCCCATTACTGTTTACTTCTTCAGAATTGAGTCGATACGACACCGTTTGAAGATGGAGATGGAGCGACTTGCAGAGCAAGAGGAGGCAGAAGAAGAAGGAGAGTTGCGATGCAATTTGCAGAGCTGGTGATTGTTTACAATACGAAACGACGCCGTCAGGTGTGGTGGTCCGAACGTGGGAAGGTTCTCAATATCAAGTGCGGGAAGGTATATGATATGTTGAGAAGGCCAGCCAATAAGATGTATGGTCCAAGAAAGCAAAGGGGTATTTTTGTCAGTTAAGATCCACCTGGTCGCTTGACCGGTCTATCTCTTCAGAGCATCCCCAGCGTGGGGTTTAGCTCGGGGGACGGGCTCCAAAACGGAGGCCCGAGTGAAGGTGGATCGGCTCCAGCGTTGGGAAGCCGGGGGGAAGGGGAAGGCCCGAGGGCCAGGCCCGTGAGGAATTGATAGGCCTTGAGCCCGGGGTGGGAGTGACGCCATGCTGACGCCAGAGTGGCGTCAGCCTATTATTTAATTTTTTTTGTGTCAGGCGCGTGCACCCCACCCGCGCGTGGGGGCGCGTCCTGACACTTTAATCAGAAAAAAAAAAAAGTTTTGTCTGTTATCGTTGGGAAGCCACGTGGCTTCCCACGGTACATTAGATCCTAACGGTCACTTAATGTGGACCGTTAGATCTCAACGGTAAAAAATTTTAAAATTGTCAGATTTAATATCCACCGTTCGATCTGAGATCAACGGTGGATATTAAAATGCTTTATAAATTAAAAAATAAATGAAAAAATAGTTTAAAAAATCTGAAAAGTTACCGTTGTGACACGTGGCACAATCTGGAGCGTTGGAATTCAAATTTTTTTATATTCAACGGCAGAGATTAATTAATTGAATAAAAATTCAAAAAAAAATGTAAAAAATTCAAAAAAATTCAAAAAAAAATGTAAAAAATTCAAAAAAATTCAAAAAAAAATCTGAAAAAAATTGTAAAAAAATTGTTTTTACTTTTCTATAAATACCTTCTCATTATCATCTACCTTCACAACAATTTCATATTTTCTCAACCACTTTCAATCACATTCCTTTCTTTGTCTCAAAGTTTGAATCCATTTTTTTTCAACAAAATGACCACTGGTGCAGGTACGAATTGGTCGCTTATTGAAGATGTTGCGTTGTGTACTAGCTGGGTTGAAGTTACTCATAGTTCGCTTACGGGTAATGAGATGCAGTTGCGAGAAATGTGGAGTCTTATTCATACCAATTATCTTGAGAAAATTGGTGGGAAAAGAACCAAAGAATCGATGTCCAGTCGTTGGAAATTACTTAGCCAATCGTTTAGTACGTGGAGAGACGCTTTGGCACAAGCTAGTAATAATATTCGAAGTGGGGAAAATTACTCGGATATGGTAACAAGATATTATTATTTATTGTTTGTATTCTTTATTTGTTACGTACAAAATTTATTATTTATTGTTACTTATTTGTTACATTATAATTATGTTGTTTGTTACATTATAATTATGTTATTGTTACTTATTTGTTACATTTATTTGTTACATTATAATTATGTTGTTTGTATTATTTATTTGTTACTTATTTTCATTAAAATTAATGTGTATATATATATATATATTTGTTAATTATTTTCATTATTTACTAAACTTGAAGCCTTCTTATTTGCTTTGTTACTTATTTTCATTATCTTTGTTACTTATATATATATATATGTATATATTTGCTAGTTACTTATTTTCATTATAATTATTTATTTGTATTATTTATTTGTTACTTATTTTTATTGTGTAGGAACTTCAAGCACAAGCTTGGTATGCTGCCAAAACCAAAGGCAAAAATAAATCATTCAACCGGTGGGAATGTTGGAATATTGTCAAAGATTGTCCTAAATTTAGAGTTGTGCCAGTTGGTCTAGAAGTGCATATGAACAGCACCCCTCTAAACTCTACACCCGATCATGTTCATGAAGATGATGCAGAAGAAGTGCCCGAAACGCCCCTCCCTGAACAAGCGTCGGGTTCGACCCGTTTTCCAATTAGGCCTCAAGGTAAGAAGGCTACAAAGAGAAAAGGGAGTGCTTCCAAGAACGATTATGCAAAGTTCATGGAAGAACTTACTCGCCAAGGTGAATTGACTTTGGCGAGGGAACTGGCGAAAGATGAGGTTGATAAGGCTGATAAGGCATCAAAAGCAGCAGCTGTTGAGAGAGAATTTTATGCTAATGAGAGAGAAAGAGAGCTACTTAGGCAAGAAATGGAACATGTTAGAGAAGAAAGACGAGCTCAACAAGATCGTGAGATTATGAACATGTCTTTAGAAGGGAAGTCTCCAAATTCTAAATTTTTTGGAAGTCAGAGAAAGCGGACGTGGTGCGAAGGAGGCGTGCAAGAGAAACAATAGCAAGCCAAGGTGGTTCTAGCACCGCAAGAGAAGATCATCCTAGCAGCACAAATTGGTTAAGTGATGATGAATAGAGTACTTTTTGTAATCGGAGCCCATAATTTTCCAATCACTTTGGGTTGTAATTTATTATTTATTGTTTGTATTATTTATGTTGTTTCCATGTTCATGAATATTTATTCAAATTAATTTGGTAAGTTATTTATATTAAGAATTAATTTGGTAAGTTATTTAATTTGGTAAGTTATTTATGTTGTTAAAAGTCCATTAAACATAAACATAAACATAAACATACTAAGAATTACATAAACATAAACATAACAAAATTACATAAACATAAACATAAACATACTAAGAATTACATAAACATAAACATAAAAAAATTACATAAAAAAATTACATAAACATAAACATAAAAAAATTACATAAACATAAACATAAACATATACTAAGAATTACATAAACATAAACATAAAAAAATTACATAAACATACCAAATTCAAAATAACACACTAAAATGAACTTAATTATCCTCAGCTTGTTTCAATGCCCACTGGTGCTCTATCAAGTCAATTTGTCGGGCATTGTGCATGTCTGGCATTTGAAATGCAGTATATCGTTGAATGAGCCTTTCATTGTAACGTCCATCCCTTTGTAATGGCTCATGTTGCACGGGGTCATCGGTGGCGTCATGAGCACAATATATACGTGTTCTTGAATTGTTCATCGGGTCTGGCTCATATTCATCAACAGCTTCATAATCGTACTCATCTTCCACAATCATGTTGTGAAGAATGATGCACGTCATCATGATGGATCGAAGCGACTCTACATCAAACAATCTGGCCGCACCCCTGACGATCGCCCAGCGAGCTTGGAGGATACCAAAACAACGCTCCACATCCTTCCTGCACCCCTCTTGACAGCTTGCAAAGTGTTTTTCCTTCGCACTCCGCGGACGTGGCACTGTTTTGACAAATGTTGACCAGCGCGGGTAGATGCCGTCAGCTAGGTAGTATGGCCCGTCGTACATACGTCCGTTGACCTCATATGTAACTTTTGGTGCCTTTCCTTGCAGGACATCGTTGAACACTGGGGATTGGGCAAGGACGTTGATGTCATTTTGAGCTCCCGGGACCCTGAAAAAGGCGTGCCAAATCCATGTATCAAAAGATGCCACCGCCTCCAGAATGATACTTTTTGCCCCTTTTCTGTCCCCGTAAGCGCCTTGCCATGCACTTGGACAGTTTTTCCACGTCCAATGCATACAATCAATGCTTCCAATCATTCCAGGAAAGCCACGCATCTCCGCCTTCTTCAACAGCCGCTCCAAGTCCATGTGTGTGGGTTTGCGGAGGTACTCAGCGGTGTAGATAGATTCGATTGCTCCGCAAAACCTCATCAGGGACTCAAGAATGGTTGATTGCCCCATCCTCGTTATCTCATCCACTTGGTCTGCAGATGCTCCATATGCAAGCATCCGCAAGGCAGCAGTAATTTTTTGCTCCGGCAGTAGACCCATAGCACCAAAATCATCTTTTTTTTGCACAAAATAAGAATCATGGTTGCAAACAGCAATCATGATTTTGTTGAACAAATGTCGTTCCATTCTAAAATGACGTCTAAAGTACGTATCAGGGAATGCACTATTAGAAACAAAATAATCATCCAAGAGTTCCATACCTCGTCGTTGCCTGCTTCTATCAATGTTTCCGGAACGCCTGGGCCTGCAGATCTGAGCCGCAGCTTGGATGACTCGACGGGAATGTGAGGCTCTGCCCCTTCTTACGTCGTCATCTCTCATTTGACGCTCCTCATCTTCTTCCCTCTCATTTCTTACCCCCTGCTGATTGAACATTGATTCTGATTGGTTAAACAAGTCTTCCTCTTCCTGATTCAATTCCCACATCATCCTTGAGGAAGAAGAAGAAGACATTGAAAGAAAGAAACAGAAACTATGAATATTGAAACTGATTTTTGTGAATAAGGAAGCAGAAATTTTGAGATCAATGATAGAGATCTTGAGAATTTTGGTGTGAGATTTGTGAAGATGGATGGTGGATTATATAGAGGATTCAGAAAGGATTAGGTTCTGCATAATGCCACGTGGCATGCCGTCATTCGTTAAAAATCTGATGGAAATCTATCATCCAAGATTGTTAACAGATTATGACACGTGGCATGCCGTCATTCGTTTAAAATCTGATGGAAATCTATCCTCAAAGATTGTGAACCGATTATGACACGTGGCGCGACGTGATTGGTTAATAATCTTATCAGAAATCCATATTATAATTATTTATTTTGTATTATTTAATAATACTTAGGATAATGACACGTGGCGCACCGACAACGATTAAAAATCTTATCCGATATTACATTTAAAATTATTTTGTATTAATTTTATAAATAAAAAAAATACTAATATTTTATTGCCTATTGCCAGGGCTATAGAAGTGTAACGGTGGAAATGCAAAATCTATTGCCAGGGCTACTTACTGTTCATTAAGGGCAATTACTGTTCATTAGGTGGATTGAATAGTGAATTGCCAGGGGGGAGGGCTCCAACGCTGGAGTTGCTCTCAGAGCAAGCCCAGCGTGGGCTATAGCTCAGGGGAAGGTGGAGGTCCGAGCTCCGGGCTCGTGGGGAATTGCCAATCCGAGAGTCTGAGGTCATGTGACGTCAGCGCTGACGTTAGCCTGGCGTCAGCGCAATATTTAATTTTTTTTGTGTCAGACGCGTGCACCCCACTCGCGCGTG